TATTCTTAGGCTATTTGGTTATAGCTTTCATATAAAAAGGTTTAAATTAGTTTCATAATAGGGGTGTGTACATGCCTCACTGGACTTTTATCCCTACTCTTGCACACAGAGCTTTGAAACAAGATTTTAGCACCTTATTCAAATATAAGTAGACAACCAAGAATTATTAGACATTTGGGAAAAAGTTTAAACTGAAAACATAGGTCAGAACAAACAGAAAACCTGATTGTGCTGACACGTGCTATAGTCCCAGCTACTTGGAAGGATGAGGTAGGAGGGTCAATTGAGCCTACGATTTTGAGACCAGTGTGGACAACATAGAAAGATACCCCATCTCTAAAATAATTTTTTTTGAGAGTCTCACTATCGTGCCCTCGTAGAACGCCATGGCATCACAGCTCACAGCAATCTCAAATTCTTGAGCTCAAACAACTTTCTTGCCTCAGCCTCCCAAGTAGCTGGGACTATAGGTGTCTGCTTCAATGCCTGGCTATTTGTTTGTTTGTTTGCTGTTATTTAGCAGACCCAGGCCAGGTTTGAATCCACCAACTACAATGCATGTGGCCAGAGCCCTGACCACTAAGTATGGGCACTGAGTCTAAAATAATTTTTATAATAAATAAATAGAATTAGGGGTGGCGCCTGTGGCTCAAAAGGGTAGGGCACAGGTCCCATATGCCGGAGGTGGCAGGTTCAAACCCAGCCCTGGCCAAAAACTGCAAAAAAATTAAAATAAAAAAATAGAATTAAAAAAATTCAGAAGAGACAAAGAGAAAAAGGTGGCAACAGAAGAAAATTTCAAAGAAATCTAAATTAATAACTTTAGAGAATAAGAGATAGGAAAGAAAATATTACTAAAATTAAAAATTCATTAGGATTAGATGATGAAAAGCTAAATATCCTTAAAAATAGAACAAATGGAATAGAGAAATGAAAAATAAGAGAAGAAAATAAGTAGGTAATTTCAGAAGATATATCATCTGTAGGATTCCTAAACTCTGTAGAAACAATACTGATAAAAGGAAGATATTAACAAATCCCAGAAAGAAAAAATAGGTCACATACCAATAACGGGGAATTAGAATACCATTGAACTTTTTTTTTGAGACAGAGCCTCAAGCTATCCCCCTGGGTAGAGTGCTATAGCATCACAGCTCACAGCAACCTCCAACTCCTGGGCTCAAGAGAGTCTCCTGCATCAGCCTCCCAAGTAGCTGGAACCACAGGCACCTGCCACAACGCCTGGCTATTTTTTGGTTGCAGTTGTCATTGTTGTTTGGTGGGCCCAGGCTGGATTCGAACCTGCCACCTTAGGTGTATGTGGCTGGCACCTTAGCCACTTGAGCCACAGGCGCCGAGCCGAAAATAAATTTTTTGAAAAGAAAAATACAAAAAGAGATAAGCAGTTTGTAATCCCAGCACTTGGGAGGCTGAAGTAGGTAGACACTGCCTGAGCTCATAAGTTCAAGACCAGCTTGAGCAAGAACGAGACCCCCATCTCTAAAAAATAGCCAGGTGTTGTGGCAGGTGCCTGTAGTTCCAGCTACTTGGGTTGCTGAGGCAAGAGAATCGCTTGAGTCCAAGAGTTTGAGGTTGCTGTAAGCTGTGACACCATGCACTCTACCGAGGGCAACAAAGTGAGACTCTGTCTCCAATAAAAAAAAAGAGACATTAGCAGAGCAGACGCATACAAATGTGGTGGTGGGGGTTAGGAATTGTTTTCTTTCACATATCCCTAATCTCCTCCTATTGGTTTGCAAGTGTTTAAAAATACCGCACAACCCAAGTATATGCTGTCCATAAGAAACACTCTTCAAAGTAAAAGGGCATAGTATAAAAAGATGCATCATGCAAACATTAATCAAAAGAAGGAGTGGCTACAAATAAACATTAGGTAGATTTCAAGAGCAAACAGAAGTACCAGAACCAGAAGAATACTTTATGATAAAAGTATCAATTCACCAAGAAAACAGTAAGTAATCCTAAATGTGCATGCACTAAACAGCAGAGGTTCAAAATATGTATGTGAAGGACCAATCTGATAGAACTGAAAAATAAAAGGCCAAATCGATAATTAAATCCAGATATCTGAATATCCTTCTTACAACAACTGATGGAACTAGACAGAAAATCAGCAAGGATATCAAAGAACTAAATAAATCATCAACCAAGATACAACTGATATTTATAGAACATTCCATCCAACAACAGCAGACCGTCAATATTGTTTCATTCATGTTCATTCTGCTATAACAATGAAAAATATCAATTCCAGTGGAGGCCAAAGTTTATATGGAATTTGTACATTCTACCCATGGCATGTGTTTTTTCTCTGTGTTGTGGCGGACATCTGTAGTCCCAGCTACTTGCGAGGTTACTAAGGAAAGAGAACTGCATAAACTACAGCTTCTTCTCATATCCTAAAGATGTGTACATCAAGTTAATTGACAAGTCTAACTTGTCCCAGGATTAGAGTGGGTATATGAGTATACCCTGTGATGGAATGGTGTACTATCCAGAGTTGGTTCCCGCTTTGTGCCCTGAGCTGCCAGCACAGACTCTGGCCACCTGTGACCCTGAACTGGAATAATTGGGTAAATAATTACCTTATGTGTTTTTAATTAAAATTTCTTAAATGTATGCATAGCTCATTTATTTCCATGTTTAACATTAAAAATGTTTAGGTCTTAATTTACAAGTTTGATGATGTTTCTGTAACCAGATATATCCCATAAGAACTTAACTCCTGTTTATATCAATTACCTATGATAAAATTTGTTTTCTTATATACCCTTTTGCCTTAAGACACAGTTTCCAAGAACCTACTGACAAAATTAAGTAAGGATTTACTGTATACAGTGTTTTCAAGTGTCCACAGAATATCTACCAAGATAAACCATATCTTAGGACATAAAATAATCTCAATACAAATTTTAAAAACTGAATTCATACAGATTGTGTTATTAAAGTATAAAAATGGAAAATAGCAGTGGCTGAGGGAAATTAAGTATGGACTACACTGGGGCAGCATCAGGAAGATCTTTGTGGTTACAGAACAATTCTGTATCTTACATTTGGTGGTGGTTACCTAATCTACACATGTAATACAATTGGATAGATGGATACATAATGTTGCAATGTCAATTTCCTAGTTATAATATTATAAATTGTAACCACTAGGGGAAACCAGGTAAAGGGTACCTGGAACTTCTTTGTACTACTTTTTCAACTCCCTGTGAACTTATAATTATTTTAAAATAAAAAGTTAAAAAATTTACTTCTTTCCTCAGAAGCCATGGGAGTGTATGTTCCATCAAGACAATGGGGGTAAACTACTAAGAAGATGCAAAATCAAAAAAAAGAAGATAAGAAAAAGAGGGGAACAAACAGAAGAGATATGAAAAAAATTTCCAAGTGAAAACAGAAATTCTATTATAATAGTTATATAACATTCTTAGGCCTCAACCTGTTCCTGTTGAAATAGAAGGTCAGAAGACTCCCACAGTGACTGACTGCAGCAGGAAGAAAGAGGAGGAGGAAACCAGAAAGATCATATGATAAGTTTGACTTGTAGAAAAATTCTTTTATTTAGCTTACTGAAAAGAATGACTAGGCTCAGCACCTACAGCACAGTGGTTATGCACTGAGGCTGGTGGGTTTGAGCTCGGCCTGGGCCAGCTAAATAATGACAACTGCAACAAAAAAGGAGCTGGGTGTTGTGGTGGGTGCCTGTAGTCCCAGCTACTTGGGAGGCTCAGGCAAGAGAATCACCTAAACCCAAGAGTTTGAGGTTGCTATGAGCTGTGATGTCACACTACTCTATGGAGGGCAACATAGTGACACTGTCCCCCCCTAAAAAAAAAAAGAAGAGAGAGGTTAGACTGGTCAAATAGTCAAAGAACATGACACAATTTAAAAAAAAATTCCCACTATTTTATATTTCAAAACCCTGGGAGGAAACAATCTTAATTATTAGTTGGCTTAATAGTTGGGTAGATTCATTATCACTCTCCCTGGAAGATCTAGAGTGAAAGGACATTATGTACCAAAGATGAATTTTGCATATTTCACATTTCTACCTAGACATGGCCAGTCCCACATGTGCCAAGGTCAATTAAAATGTCTTTCTGGCCTACTTTGCCATAAACTGCTAACCTCTACAATGCCCTGCAGAGCATCTCAGAACACTGCTTCCAGGCTAGGACTTTTGAACTTTTGCCAATGGCTGGGAGAGTGGATTTACTTACTGACATGTCCATTCCATGGAGTCTTCGAGTTTCCTGAACCATTACAGTCTCCAATATTTTATAATACAAAATTTCTGCCAGCTTTAGTCTGTTTACAGCAAAATCTACAGGGAAAAATACAGGGGGGGAAATGAGCTCATCGGTTTTAGTTATTAAGAACTGAAGAACAAAAATTATATACTCTTAAATCTGACACATATGAAAATAGGCAAGGAAAAACTTGAATTTGTACATTTTGGGGGACAATCTAACAACCTTTGATATTGTGTCAATTTTTGTTTTTGTTTCTTACCTATGTGAGATCCTGGCTGTTCATCTGTTGACTGAGTGTAGTGTTGGCAGAAAGTCTCTCCTATTCCTTTCACGATTTTCATAATGTTTTCCAATGGATTACGTATACAAGATCTATAAAATACAAGAGAAACCTAATTACCAGGAAAAACATGAGTGCCAACATTCTTTATTTCAAAAATTAGTTTGGGGCTCAGTGTCTGTAGCTCAGTGGCTAAGGTGCCAGCCACATAACACAGGGGCTGGCAGGTTCGAACATGGCCTGGGGCCTGCCAAACAATGACAACTACAACAACAACAAAAAATAGCCAAATAGCCGGAGGGCTGTGGTGAGCACCTGTAGTCCCAGCTACTTGGGAGTCTGAGCAAGAGAATCGCATAAGACCAAGAGTTTGAAGTTGCTCTGAGCCGTGACGCCACGCACTCTACCAACATCGACATAGTGAGACTCTGGCTCAAAAAAAAAAAAAAAGTTAGTTTGGTTTATAGCAGTCAAAGTTTGTTTTTTTTTTTTTTTTTTGAGACAGGGCCTCAAGCTATCCCCCTGGGCAGAGTGCCATGGCATTACAGCTCACAGCAACCTCCAACTCCTGGGCTCAAGCGAGTCTCCTGCCTCCGCCTCCCAAGTAGCTGGGACCACAGGCGCCCGCCACAACGCCCGGCTATTTTTTGGTTGCAGCCATCATTGTTGTTTGGCGGGTCGGGGCTGGGGATTCGAACCTGCCACCTTAGGTGTACGTGGCTGGCACCTTAGCCGGTTGAGCTATAGGCGCCGAGCCAGCAGTCAAAGTTTTTAAGATACAGGGTTTCACTCTGTCACCTTGGCAAGAGTGCAGTGGTCTTCATAGCTTACTGCAACCTCCAACTTCCGGGCTCAGGTAATACTCCCCACTCAGCCTTTCTAGTAGCTGGGACAGTCACTAAAATTCTATTTTTAGTTATAAACCTATATATGTGATCAAAGTTTTATATATGTAAATTTTTTATACAATATACAAAATTACATATAATAAAAATTAATTTTGTTATATATGCAAAATAATTTGTTTCTGTGAGTTTGACTATTTTATATACCTCAGTGGAATCATGGAATCATCCAGTACTTGTCTTTTTGTGATTGGCTTATTTCACTTAGAATAATGTAAGGTTTCTTCTTTTTTTGTTTTTTAAAGCAAGATAAGGTCTTGCTCCTGTTGCCCAGGATGGTGTGTAGTGGCATGATCATAGTTCACTGCAGCCTCCTGAGTCGCTGGGACTACAGGCATGTTCCAACACACTTGGCTAATTAGCTTTCAATTCTTCTGAAAATATACCCAGAAGTGGTGTTGCTGAGTCATACGGTAATCATATTTTTAACTTTTTGAGAAACTCTATACTGTTTTACATAGTGGCAGTATCATTTTACAATTCTAAGTGTTAAGAGTTCAAATTTTTCCATATCCTCACCAACACTTGCAATTTGGGTTATTTTGGGGAGGGGGGAGTAGTGGCCATTCTAACAGATGTTAGGTGTTATCTCATTGTGGTTCTTTAATTACCAATTTTTTTTCTTTCTTTAGAGACAGAGTCTCACTCGATTGCCCAGGCTAAAATACAGTGGAATGATCATAGCTTACTATAATCTCAAACTCCTGGGCTTAAGAGATCCTCCTGCCTTGGCCTCCCAAAGTGTTGAGATTACAGGTATAAGCAGCTTTCCTGTGAAGTTTTTTTTTTTTTTTGCAGTTTTTGGCCAGGATTGGGTTTGAACCCACCACCTCCAGTATATGGGGCTGGCGTCCTACTCCTTTGCCCACAAGCATTGCCTGTGAGTTTTTTAAATTAATTTTTTCTTATCACCTACAATTTTAATTTCGTACTTATTGAAAAAATTCTTTTGGACTTTAAATAGATTATCATGTTTGTCTCTTTCACATATATAAAAAAAAAAAGACAGTGAGACCTGTCTCTATAAAAACAATTTTTTAAATTAGTCAGGCATGGTGGCAGGCAGCTATAGTCCCAGCTACTTAGGAGGCTGAGGCAAGAGGACCTCAAATTCTTGGCCAGGGAGTTTGAGACTGCCATGAAATATGGTAGCACCACTATACTCTAGCCTGAGCTACAGAGTGAGATCTGTATCTCTACAAAAATATGAAAATTTAAAAAAAGAAAAAGATGAGTGGAATAGGTTAATTAAAAGTCTTCATTTTCAGGATGTCTGTGAGTTTACACAGAATATTGACTGTTGTGCAATCAAGAGCTCTGGTGATGTGACATTTCTTTTTTTTGAGACAAAGTCTCACTGTATCATTCTGGCTAGAGTGCCACAGCAGCATAGCCCATAACAACTTTAAACTCTTGGACTTGAGCAATCCTCTTGCCTCAACCTCCCAAGTAGCTGGGACTACAGGTATGTGTCACTATGCCCAGCTAGCTTTTTCTATTTTTTTTTTTTTTTTGAGACAGAGCCTCAAGCTGTCCCCCTGGGTAGAGTGCCGTGGCATTACAGCTCACAGCAACCTCCAACTCCTGGGCTCAAGCAAGTCTCTTGCCTTCGCCTCCCAAGTAGCTGGGACCACAGGCGCCTGCCACAACGCCCAGCTATTTTTTGGTTGCAGCGTCATTGTTGTTTTTGGCGGGTCCGGGCTGGGGATTCGAACCCGCCACCTTAGGTGTATGTGGCTGGCGCCTTAGCTGGTTGAGCTATAGGCGCCGAGCCGCTTTTTCTATTTTTATTAGAGACTGGGTCTCACTCTTGTTCAGGCTGGTCTTGAACTCCTGAGCCCAAACAATCCACCTGTCTCGGCCTTCCAGCGTGCTAGGATTACAGGCATGAGCCATTGCACCCATCCTTATGGGACATTTCTTAAAATAGCTCCAATATCCTCTGAGATTTTCTTCCATGTCACTGATCCTCAATACCGTAAGTTTTAATACTGGTTCTTTCTTGATCTCATCAGAATCATCAATAGACAATTTTCGAACAGAAATCTGGATTTGTGCTCCTTCAAATGATCCTTAAATGGCATAAGAACTAAAGTACACAGGGACTATGGTCACAGGTGCCCAGCAATTCCACCTAGAATAATAATCGCACTCACATGCACAGGTAATGACAACTCTAACACAACTGACATCAACTTTCGCACAGAAAAGCATCTTCACAGGTGTCATCACACTTTCACCATCTCTGTTACAGCTCAAGGTAGAAGAATAGGAGGTAAAAGAGGGCTCCCTCAGACTAAGGGCCATAGACATGGAGATGTCAGGATGCCATGCCCACCAGGGATACAGAAGCTGGGTCTAGAGGGTGTGGGGGCCAGAGTGAGCCACACAGAAAAGACAGAAAAGCTTCACTGTGGTTTTGATTTTCATTTTCCTGGTTAGTGATGTTGAACAATTTTCAAATGCTTTTTAGCAATTTGTTTATCTCCTTTGGAGAAATGTTTACTCAATCCTTCAGATATTTTTTTTTTTTTGAGAGTCTCATTATGTCACCCTCCTTAGAGTGCTGTTGTGTCACAGCTCACAGCAACCTCAAACTCTTGGGCTTAAGTGATTCTTTTGCCTCAGCCTCCCAAGTAGCTGGGACTAAAAGAGCCTGTCTATTTTTTTTTTTCTGGTTGTAGTTGTCATTGTTGTTTGGCTGGCCTGGGATGGATTCAAACCTACCAGGTCCAGTGTATGTGGCTGGTGCCCTAGGTGCTGAGCTACAGGCGCTGAGCCCCTTCATACATTTTTAATTGAATTATTTGGTTTTTGTTATTGAGTTGTAGTTCTTTATATGTTTTGGATATGAACCCGATTTGATACATGGACTGTAATTATTTCTCCCATCCTATAGATTACCTTTTTACTCTGGTTTTCCTTGCTATGTAAAAGTTTTTTATCTATTTTTCCTTTTTTACCTATGTTTTTGGCATCATAGTCAAGAAATCATTGCTTATCCCCATGTAATCAAACATTCCCCTCATGTTTTCTTCTAGGAATTTTATAGGTTCAGGTCTTATGTTAGATCTTTAATGAATTCTGAGTTAATTTTTGAATATCATTTAAGATAAAAGTCTATCTTCATTCTTTTGCATGGGTATCTACTAAAAAGGCTATCCTTTCCCCATTATACAGTTTTGGTGCAAACTATATATCTGTGATCTCTTGTCACAGGTCACATAACCATATATGTGACGGTTTATTTCTGGGCTGTCTGCTGTGTTCCATTGGTCCCATAGGTCTGTCTTTAGGTCAATATCATACCATTGTGATTGCTGTAGCTTTGTAATTGGTTTCAAAATCAAAAAGTCTGGCCAGGTGCAGTGGCTCATGCCTGTTATCCTAGCACTCTGTGAGGCCGAGGTGGGTGGATTGCTTAAGCTCATGAGTTTGACACCAGTCTGAGTAAGAGCAAGATCCATCTCTACTAAAAATGAAAAACTGAGGCAAGAAGATTACTTGAACTCAAGAATTTGAGGTCGCTCTATGATGTCAGAGCACTCTACCAAGAGTGACAAAGTGAGACTCTGTCTCAAAAAAAATAAATAAATAGAAAAGTCTGAAGCATCCAGCTTTGTCCTTTCTCAAGACAGCTTTGACTATTCAGGGTCCTTTGAGAGTACATATGAATTTTAGGTTCTTTTTATGTCTGCAAAAGATGACATTGGGATTTTTTTTTTTTTTGAGACAGGGTCTCACTATGTAGCCCTTAGTAGAGTGCTGTGATGTCACAGCTCACAGCAACCTCAAACTCTTGGGCTTAAGCAATTTTCTTGCCTCAGCCTCCCAAGTAACCGGGACTACAGGTACCTGCCACAACGTCAATTTATTTATTTTTTCTGTTGCTGCTGTTGCAGTTGTCATTGTTGTTTAGCTGGCCTGGGCCAGGTTTGAATCCGTCAGCCTCAGTGCATGTGGCTGGTGCTATAACCACTGTGCGGTGGGAGCTGAACTGACATTGGGATTTTGATAGGAATTGTATCAAATCTATTGATCATCTTTGTGATCAACAGTATGGTATGGACATTTTAATAATATTAAGTCTTCCAGTCATCAACATTGATGTCTTTCTATTTATTTGTGCCTAGGCCTTTTTTTTTGCACCTTTGATTTCTATACTCCTTTCCTTCCTTTTCTTGTTGCTATAAAATGTTTTTATGGTGGCCTTGTTAAATCTTTTTGAATTATGCATACTTAAACAAGTTCAGTTCAGACCTATTACTTAAATGGTACAGAAGGCAAATCTTCCTAACAGTCTTACTACCTTATCAGCAACATGCTTATCTTCTGAGGTATTTCTAAGGCAAGGGATTGTTCTGTCCACTTTTCTGTATTCTGTTCAACTTTTGTTAAAGGACTAGGGATTTGCTCTTTCTTCTGAGATTTGGTTAAATGTCCTCATTTTAGGGTTCACTATACCTAGTCAGGGACATCTAGTTTTATGAGGATCTCTTCCCAAACCATCAAAGGAGGTTGGAAAATGGGAGCCTCTGACAGTTGTTAATATTTCTACTGGGTCCTGGTGGTGTGGTACATAGGGACTTTCACTTGGGGAGGCTTCTATGACTTTTTATCTACCTGTCTACTCACCCTATTTGTTTCTCTTCAAATCTGAAGTATTAATGAACACTCTCAAGATTCTGTCAACATTTCTCTTTCCCCAATACTGCCTTTTGCAGGTGGGTACCCAAATCATCCATTTCCTTCCTTGACTTTTACTTTGGAAATTTATAGCATGAAATCATGTCCCTGTCCTTGTTTGGTTGCTGCTAATAAATATTTTGCTGGTTCTTCCTATTCTTTTTTTTTCTAGTTAATATATACTTTATTTATAACAAACTGAGGAATTTTATGACAACACACATACACATGTAAATCTGTATGAGAAATCCAAAAATGTGGAAATGTTAACATCATTAGACTATGTTCAGTGATTGCATGGTGTTATGGTTTTTTTTTTTTTTGAGACGGAGCCTCAAGCTATCCCCCTGGGTAGAGTGCCATGGCATCACAGCTCACAGCAACCTCCAACTCCTGGGCTCAAGCGGGGTCTCCTGCCTCAGCCTCCCAAGTAGCTGGGACTACAGGCGCCCGGACAATGCCCGGCCATTTTTTGGTTGCAGCCGTCATTGTTGTTTGGCGGGCCCGGGCTGGGGATTCGAACCCACCACCTTAGGTGTATGTGGCTGGCGCCTTAGCCGCTTGAGCCACAGGCGCCGAGCTGGTGTTATGGTTTTTCTGTACCTTTTTATAGATTTTAAATGGTCATAGGGAAAAAATACATTATCTACATTTATAAGAATACTCAGTATTATGGATATATCCTCATCCCATTTAATCATACCCTTGTTTATGGATGTTGAGGTAGTTTCTAGTTCTGAATTCAAACCTTCAGAAATTGTAGGGGAAAGCTCATATCACCAAGTAATACAGTATTCCTTCTTTCTTCATTTTCTACACATCAACAAAGGAATAAATAATCTGTGTGTCTCATAGACCTGTTTTCCTTGCCTCAGTTGGGTTAGAATTGGTGAATTTCTCAGACTGTAGAGGACGTGGTGATTATAGGTAGAAGGTCATATTTACCAGGAAAATACTTTTGTTTAGAAGGATTCAGCGGATGTGTCCACTGCCTAGTGCTCTTGGTGCTTCCTGAGGCAGTGTGGGACTTTGAATCCAGGAAATGGGTATAGAAGATAACCACTGCCCACAGACAGTGCAAAAACCCCCAAGTAATTTATCTTTACCCCTGCATTAGTCTTGCTCCAGGACAGGGTTTCCTGTTGTTCATCTTTTATCTCCATCAAAAGAGAGGAAGTCTGGGCTAGGCACCCATAGCTAAACAGTTAGGGCACTGGCCACATACACTGAGGCTGGCAGGTTTGAGCCAGGCCCGGGCCTGCTAAACAACAATGACAACTGCAAAAACAACAAAAGAGCCAGACGTTGTGGTAGGCACCCGTAGTCCCAGCTACTGGGGAGGCTGAGGCAAGAGAATTGCTTAAGGCCAAGAGTTTGCGGTTGCTGTGAGCTGTGATGTCATGGTACTCTACCAAGGGCAACACAGTGAGACTGTCTTAAAACAAAACAAAAAAGAAAGGAGGTCTGGAACAGGGTACTTTCCTCCTCTTAGAGCTTAGCCTCTGGTGAGCCTTGCAGCATTGGTGCTGAAAACCTCCCTCACTGAGGGTGTGTGGGGCCCTGGAGAGTTCTCTTCCTGTAATTCAGGACTCGGAAAAGGTTTGTGCCTTTTACTGAAAATCTGTGAACGACAGTTGACCTAAAGGCTTGAGGTTTCTACACTGCTGATGCGGTTGGATGAGTGGATGAAATGGCTTATCAGTTGTGCCTGCTGCTGCCACAAGTCCATCTCAATGTGTACCTTTGAGGGGGTCCCATTCCTCAATCAGAGCCTGGCAGATCTTATCCCATCACTGTACAACGTAAGATAAGTCAACCTTGGGACCCAGATGAGACCTGTCTAGGAGAGAGGAAAGGTCAATTTGGTGCTGCTCAATAGTCTGATCTGGTGTCCTGTTTGGAGCATCTATTGAGAAAGGCATGAGCTCCCTTGTGCTCTGCTTATGACAGAGAGATCTATGGTTCTGAAACCACACCTGAATTCTTGATTCCTGAAGGTGTATTTGTTTAGCCAGTTTCCTCCTGGTAGTAATATTAGGGAATGGGTACCTTTCAAAGGCTTGAACCTGTTTGCTTTTCTGATTTTCTGTGATGGCTGCCAGGTCGATCTGGCTTCTTTGGTATGCATTCCTGACACCAACACTGAGGCTGGTTGTGCTTCTGGGTTACATCTTTTCTTAAGGAGCATTCTGACTCTAGTTGTGTCTGTTGTCTTACTCTGTAGTTTTTAAATCAACTGAATTTTAGACTCTGGAACACCAATTTCTTTGGCCAGTTGTTCCCTGGCAACTTTATCAGGTTGAGAGTCATGCCTAACCATGCTAGGAGGGTATCCTTTTGATTCTGGTTATAAAAAACCTTGTCTCAATGGGTTTCTTTTCATACCATGCCACTTGAAGTGCTATTCAAATTTATCTTGGGAAGATGACTTGGTTCTTTCTATTCTCTTATTTCATAAGGTATTAGGAAAAAATTTCTCTGATCTGGCTTCATTCTACCATCTTTAACCAGGAAACATGCCTCCTTTTGTTTAAAAAAAAAAAAGGAATGAAATTCCATTTTATGGCTATAGTACCAATATGGAATCAGTCCTGTATCTGATATACATTTGTTTTTGTTTTGAGAGAGTTTCACTCTGTCACCTAGGATAGCATGCCATGGCCTCAGCTTACTTCACAGCAACCTCAAACTCCTAGGCTCAAGCCATTCCCCTTCCCCAATCTCCCCAGTCCCTAGGACTATAGGCCTCAGCCATGACACTCAGCTAATTTTTCTATTTTTAATAGAGATGGGGGTCTCAAACTCCTGAACTCAAGTGAGCCTCCTGCCTTGGCCTCTCAGGGTGCTAGAATTTATATAAGCATGAATCACTACCCCAGGCCTAGATAAATTTTTTTTTTTTTTAGGCAGATTTTCACTTTGTCACCCTTGGTAGAATGTTATGGCATCATAACTCACAGTAACCTCAGACTCCTAGGCTCAAGCAACTCTCTTGCCTCAACTTCTCAAGTAGCTGGGACTATAGGCACCCGCCACAACACCTAGCTATTTTTAGACACTGGTCATGCTTTGGCTCAGACTGGTCTCGAACCTATGAGCTCAGGCAATTCACCTGCCTCGGACTCCCAATTGCTGAGATTACAGGCATGAGAAACAGGCCCAGCAGAAAAAAAATTAAGAGCAGTTTCTCAGCCTAGGAAATATAGTGAGACCATATTTCCTAAGGAAAAAAAACAAAAGCCAGACATAGGGCCATATGCCTATAGTCCTAGCTACTTGGGAGGCTGAAGCAGGAGGATCCCTGGAGGACAGGAATTTGAGAATGTAGTGAACTATGACTACACCACTGTACTCCAGCCAGGATGACAGGGCAAGATGCTAAATGAAAAAACATCTGGGACTACAAGTGCATGCCACTGTACCTGGCCATTATATATATAGGGTGTCCATAAAATTTGTAATTTTAAATTGCATACTAGAATGGGCACAGGATTGGGGGGGTTGGCACATCTTTTGTGTGGGGGACATAATCACAAGACAAACTCTCCCTAACAAAATCAATTTTTTTTTTTTTTTTTGAGACAGAGTCTCACTTTGCCCTTGGTACAGTGCTGTGGTGTCACAGCTCACAGCAACCTCCAACTCCTGGGCTTAGGCAATTCTCTTGCTTTAGCCTCCAGAGTAGCTGGGACTACAGGCGCCCACCACAACGCCTGGCTATTTTTTTTGTTGCAGTTTGGCTGGGGCTGGGTTTGAACCTACCACCCTTGATATATGGGACTGGTACCCTACTCACTGAGCCACAGGCACTGCCCACAAAATCAAATATTTTGACCCGGTTGCTTGTACCCTCACATTAACCTGAAATAAACTTACTTAATAAGAAAAAATGAATAAATTGCATACTATTTTAAATTGCACAAGAACTTTATGGACATCCTGTATAATATTTAATAGGTACTTCTATCTGGTTTTACGCCAACATATTTTATGATTGAATTGATATAGTAAAATTTGCCAGATTTATATCCTCCATCTCAAGAATTTTGAATATACTAAAAATAGAATAGAATGTGGAATCCAATTTTAAAAGACATTTAGAAAAATAACAGTATTGTACATACTCAAAAATATTTATAAGTTGTTCACTTGGTGCATTTTTCAACCCAGCCACAATACTCTGTAACCGGCTTACACTTTGAGTGGCTGATGCAACAGGAGTAATGACTGCTTCTTTTTCTCGTAAATAACGCCGTCCTGTCAGTGGAGTAGAAGGTGCAAACGATCTTTTCTGTTAGAAAAGAAAAATCTTCAAGATTAAAAAGTCATCTTCCCCCTTATATATTTAATTCAGCATATATATCATCTTCTCTATTCATACTTGATGAATATCCATGGAATTTTTAGCAATGCTAGTCTAATAACATCCTTATCCTTGCATAATACTTTTTTAAAGCACTCTCTACCTCTAATCTCATTTTATCATCACGAAACTCATTTGAAATATATATAACATACATATTTTAATTTTACACATGAGGAAAGCAGCACAGAGAAGTTAAAAAACTTGTTTAACCTAACAAAGATAATGGGAGTGTTTGGATTAGAACTTAGGATTTCTACCTTTGAGACTAGTGAATTTTCCATTAGACCTCATCCTCCAACCTATTTTACATATAAATAAAAAATTAAGCTTTGGCCAATAACAATCAAATCTACAGTTATATAGCTGAAGTTAGAGAAGGGCATATAGTTTGTACCATGGGTAGGAAAGCAAACTACATTTTTAAAGCAATCTCCCAGAGGCTAAGTTGAAGCAAAGAAAGAATAGTAAGAAAGCAAAAATTCCTCTTTATGTCAAAAGATACATACATTTACTAATAAACCCACACACACTGAGAAAATGTATAAAAAATATGAATAATAGCAAGAAATGAAGTGTAAATACTAAATGAAATCGTTTTACAAATTACCTTTTTAGGCTTTCATAGGAAATATGAATTAGGAGAAGAAACTCAAAATTTAACAGGAAAGATGCTTCTGCTGTTAGTAGAATCACATAGAAAGAGAAAAAGATTATTCAACACTGAGGCCAGGCTGAGTTATATTACTTTTTCAAAGTGTTGTTGAAGGTTATACTCCACATTAGCCTGAGTTGCTAGCTTCCCTAATGTGGTATCACCAGTGAACTTTTGAGGGGTTCCAATTTCTTCTTCTGCATCTGCTCCCAAAAAGATCCTTTCGTCAAAATCACCAACAGTTAAAACATACTCTTCATACTCTTTGTTCACTGCTTTGCTGCAAAGAGAATTATTTTAAGCTGACAGAATAGTACTAAATAACACAATGAATTTATCTTGACTTAAAAATAGATCTAGAGGCCACAGCTTAGAAAAGCTAAGGACTTTCTAGGTTTTTTGTTTGTTTGTTTGTTTTTAAACAGAGTCTCACTATGTTGCCCTCAGTAGAGTGCCATGGCATCA